AGTCATAAAATATCATTCAGTTAATGTAAGTCTATAAAACTAAGCTGATGACAAACACCATTAGTTCTTGTTTTCAGGCAAAATTTTGGTTGCTGACTACAAGAAAAACCCAGTTTGCATTTTGCTCAGTAAGACTCTATCATGTAGTTTGGTGCCTCAAGCCACCACTGTCAAATTATGAGTGAATCACAAAGATTGCTTCACTGTCTGTACTGGCACATAATGATCTATTACAAGCATAACAGTCAGGGAGGTTATATTTTCAGCCCTGTCTGCTTGTTTGTGTATGTTGTGTGAGCAGGATTATGGAAAGAAATGCTGCATGAATTTCCACAAAACATCCTGAAAGAACACATTAAATTTTGTCTTGGATCCAGACAAGGGGTTGGATCCATTAATTCTATTTATCACTTTCTTTATGAGATTGTGACATTTTATTTGGACATTTTCACTGATTTTCTGAGAGAATAATTCATAGATCTTGATGAAAAGAAAATCAGGACCCATTTAGAGGACTGATATCTATTAGTGTGGTCAATATTGTGCAGCTTACATAAAATTTTAGTGGACCTCGATGCAGGTATGTGCACTACTGAGTGCCATTCTAGTATTTGCATGTAATTTGAAAGTATGGGCTGTTGTTGTAACAGCGAGTGTTGAAATGTGTGTGTATGCAAACTCTGAGCTGCACAGCACAGTGACAAAGTGTCACAAAACACTTTTATCAGCATCTTGCATCCAGTCAGTTACATTCTTGCATCTCCCATGCACCTTTCTCGCTCTTTTCACTAATGTCAGTTTAGACAAAGAAGGTACTTTCTGTAACTGAAATACAAAAAGTCGTGATTATAGGAAATCCAAAGCTAGTTTTGGGTTCCACTCATAGGCCCTCATGTTGACTTTTCCAGGGTGTATCCCACCTCTCACCTAATGTCAGCTGGGACTGGCTCGAGCCCCCCGCCCCCGCCCAGGACTCTTACAGAGAAGTGGTGAAGATGACGGATTGATGGAGGGATGACCCTCACGAGTTAAGAGTTTTAGAGCTGAGTAACTCAGTAGTGGATTGATGAATGCAAATCATTTTAGCTGACTTAGACCTTGAGTGAAGGTAGAGGTCAAGCAACAGTCTTCATGCTTGATGTCATATATGCTGATGCAAACAGGATATTGCTCACGGACTCTCGTGCCACTTCATCTGATGTGCTGCAAGCCTCATAGCTAATGATGTGAAATATTTCTGCTGCATTTGCATTGCACTGAATGGTGACATGCTCCTCATAGACACCTCTTTGTGTTTGTGTCTGTGTTGTCACATGAGAAATGAAGATGAATAATTCACGTTCCTCTTTTATCTCCCAGGTCTACACACAAACTGCTCTTTGATGACATCCTCATATCTTTCTAAGTCTTGCGATACTGTAATAAGAGAAGAATGCCACAACAAACAAGTGCAAAGCATGCTGGGAAGTTCAGTGGGGACCCCCTGGCTCAAGTGCTAAAAAGGATGTGAATGGAGATTTAAAGATTAAAAGAACAGCTACACATAAACAACCCCAGTTACACTTAATGCATAATCTCAACAGGGTTTCTTTTGAATCCAACCATTTGTTTTTTAATGCATATGGTTTATATTTGTCTCAGCAGCAGTAAAACCTCACTGATTCAAATGGAAAAACAACATACTTGAAAAAGACATAAATATTCAGACCTTGATTTTTTTTTAAAGGAGTATCTACTTTTCAAGGGCTATGGCCAGTCATCTCAAAAACGTTCAAATTACTTCTAGGAAAATGATGTCCCCCATCCAGAGCAGCTGCATATGTTTGATTATAATGCGTGTAAGTGGATGTTGACTCCAATGAGTGGCTGAAAAAATGCATCCATATAAATGGAAAGACAAAGAGTTGGGAAATTATGTGAAACTGTTTAACAAAGAATGTAAAAATAAATCATAATACAAATAAAGGTTACTGTTGTGATGAGTCTCAAATAAAAAGGTTAAAATAATACACCTTATTCTGTTGGACTATCACTGAACCCAACAGGAATTTCTAGTTGTGCCTCATGATCTCATTTCCACATTGCAGCAGCATCTTGCTAAAGATCCAGTGGGTGACAGAAGTCCAGTGTGGACAGATGGAAAGCTGAGTGACCTAATTAAATGTTTGGAGCTGCTTTCAAGCAGCTGGACTCTGACATAAACAGAGGAACTGTACAGAGGAAAACTGAAATGCACGATGCTTAGCATGTTTTTACTGGTGTGTTGGGCAGAATTTAGATTTTTAAAGCCTGACAGAACCCAATAACTATGGGTTTAATATTGAAACTGCAGTTTATGCTTTATGCATTTCTTACTCTAATGGACTAATGCCAATATATATGCATCATCTCAAAGCACAACTACTGTGCTAAATAACTCACAGAACTTGCTGTACACACTTAAATGTTGCAATTTTTTTATCATAAAGAATTAAATCTAAAACCTAAAGCCAAAAACAATGTGTATTATTTAATAATATTTCATTTAAAAAAACACATTTGTATTACCTTATACCTTCAGTCAGATTGTTTGGTGTGATTGTTGGAATGAAGAAAATTATACTTAATTTTCATTTATCCTGAAGGTATCTTAATTTTGAACTGAACTTTGAACCAACTTTCGTAAACCAGTTCCTCTCACCAAGCTGGCAAAGGCTGTCATATGTGGATGTTACTGATGTGGTATTTAGTCCGAAGCTGGATGGAAACCCGTGGCTGACATGTCTAACATGGCAAAAATATCTCTGCAAGCCAACAGCCTGTTTACATGTGTTGTGGCAACAGGCTCCTCTTCATCGTCTGCTTTTAGCCATTCTCGTAATATGGTGGCTCTATGGCAGCAGTTTACGAATTACTGTGCCCTTGTCCTCCCAAAAAAGGAGCATGATTTTACATTTTGATTGTTTATCACCTGCTTTATCGCCTGGTTGACAAGGACACACACTCTGTCAGCGTCTTCATTAAAGCTTTTGTGAACTTTGAGTCACAAAGTTAGATTTGTCTACCAAGGGATGTTACACTCCAAACAGTGTCCCCCAAACTACTGCTGCTGCTGAGGGGACACATCTGGCCTGATGAAGGCTTGTTGCTGACACATGTCAACATAAGAAAATAAGCTGTTAACCTGATCCCATATTGACCATGTGATGGGAATGTGTCTGTTTGCCGTCTCCATGCGATATTTTATTATTGAAAGAAGTTTCAAGGTTTATTTGTCGTATGCAAGTTAACACAGGGTCGACAGTGAAAAGTGTTGCACAAGAAGAAACAGCTCAGCAGTGCAATAATTGAATTAAAATAAAAGCAGAAAGAGCTCACAATACAAAAAGTTAAATACAATACAATACAAAACTAAATGCATTCAAAGGTGCAGTGAGACACTCGTTGCAAATGAACTTACAACTTTAACTGTATGGATTGTGTGTAAATACAATCAAAGAAAAAATCTGTGCTCAAAATCCTCAGTGCTCAAATTACTTGTTTTGTTCAACCACTGGTTCGAAGCAAAAAAAAAGTTTAAATTTACCAGAATACAATACAGAGAAAAGCAAAGATTTTTGGGAGTTAGCTGGGAAGTGTCTGTATGGTAAATATTATTCTCTTCTTCTGCTCCATTGTTTCATTCTCACCGTCTCATACATGTAAAGCAATTTGTAAAGAAGTGCCATGTAAAGAATTACTATTATAACTATTATTATTATTACTATTATTATTGTTATCATGTGGACAACCATAACAACAACATCAACAAGAAGATGGTGATCGACCTCAGGCAGAAGACGACAGCTCCACGACCGCTGAATATATTGGGGGAGGAGACGGTGATGGTGGAGGAGTACAAATACCTGGGTGTGACCATCAACAACAGACTGGACTGGAAGTCAAACACTTCTGCTGTGTATAAGAAGGGAATGAGCAGGCTCTTCTTCCTGAGGAGGCTGCGATCCTTTAATGTATGCAGCAAGATGTTGGAGATGTTCTACCAGTCCGCTGCGGCCAGCGCACTGTTCTTTGCCCTTGTGTGCTGGGGGAGCAGCAATGGAGCCTGAAACTAACAGACTTAATAAACTAATTAAGAAGGCTGGCTCCATCATCGGCTGCAAACTGGACAACATGGAAACAGTGGTGGAGAGGAGGATGCTGAACAAACTGCTATCCATCATGGATAACCATGACCAGCCTCTCCACCACATCCTCCAGGCTCAGTAGAGCACATAGACTCAGACAGCTCCGCTGTCACAAGGACAGATTCAGGAAGTCAATCCTGCCGTCCGCCATCAGGTTTTACAATAACTCAACTGCATTAGTCTCCTATTCCCATCTGCATAGTAAATTTAATTTATTTCCTGCTATATATAATGACTGGTATTCGGTATCAGTTACTGTTATTCTTGCAGGTTGTATATAGTAGCTAGTCTCGTTTTCACATCACTGTATCACTTATTACAGTTTTATCACTTTATCACTGAACCACTTCTACTCTTTACACTGTTTTATGTTTTTATGTTTTTATGCTTCTTAGATTACTGAAACATTCAACCCAGTCTCCTCGGTTTTAACTTTGCCTCAACTTAACTCTGTCTGAACAACTCAACTACATGTCTGTACTGCTGGAACACAAGAATTTCCTCTCGGGGATGAATGAAGTATGTCTATCTACCTATCTATCTAAAACACACACACACACACACACACACACA